TAAACCCCTAAACCCCTAAACCCCAGGTCCGGGGGCCCGGGCGCAATCAGCGTGACCGTGGAAGCCCTCCTCTCGACGCTGAGGCGTCGGTCGGTCTCGAAGGTCAGGGCCACACTCTCCTGGGATGGCGGACAAGGGTTTAGGTTTAGGGTTTGGGGTTTGGGGTTTAGGGTTTAGGGTTTGGGGTTTAGGGTTTGGGGTTAAGGGTTTGGGGTTTAGGGTTTAGGGTTTAGGGGTTTAGGGGTTTAGGGTTTGGGGTTTTGGGATGGCGGACTCGGGTTGAGGGATGTCTAGGGCCTTTGGGATGTTTCGGGTCTGGGGTTTAGGGCTTAGGGTTTGGGGTTTGGGGTTTAGGGTTTGGGGTTTAGGGTTTAGGGTTTGGGGTTTAGGGTTTAGGGTTTAGGGTTTAGGGCTTAGGGTTTAGGATACGGCTGTGCAAGGAACGAGGTCATCGGAAACAGGGTGGGGGATGTGCCAGGAACGGCGGGGGGGGCCGTGTCGGGAAGCCACGAAGCCATGAGCCACCGGGGTCTCTAGAAAGGTGTGGCTTCTTACTTCTCCAATACCCAAGGGAAAAATAAAAAAGATGGAGCTTCATCATTCCTACCAAACAAGGAAGCGCAAAAAGCTTATAAAGCTCAGCTGTTGGAGAAGTGAGGCTTTGGGCTGCGTCTTGCCGACTTGTCCCTCGTGTGGAATTGTAGGATGTCAAAGCACTCAGAACGGAGAGCCGAGGAACGGAAAGACTCGTCTGTCCCATGTCAAGAACTGTGCTCTTGGAGCCTGTTTCGGGTTGAATAAAGTGCACAAAAGCCCAACTAAACACTAACCCTAAACCCAAAAACCAAATGCTCTCTAGGAAAGCCGACAAGCCATCCTCACCAGAGGCAGCCAAGCATCCAGAGACACGCCCACCAAATCTGCGAAATTCTGCCTGCCGAATCCCCAAACCCGAAACCGTTCACGGTTTGGGGCCACGGGTAGCCTATGCACCAGCAGAACTCCAATCCAGGCCTTCTGCCAGGGGGAAGGGGGGGGGGGGGGTGGCGGGGAGGGGGGGAGAGGGTGCTCTGTCCAAGTGGTTCGATGAAAGGCCCTGAACTCCAAAATGATCGCCGACGCAGCCTCATGGCGGTGGTCAGCGCCACCTTCGAGAGCTTCGGGGTTTCGGGTTTAGGGTTTCGGGCTTCGGGTTTTCGGGGTTCCGGGCTCAGGAGAGGCGAGGCCCTAAACCCTAAACCCTAAACCCGAAACCCTAAACCCTAAACCCAAAAGACTCCCCAAGGCAGCTACCTTCCGAAGCCCATGCGAAGAACCCAAAAGGTTGGGGGCCTCGGGGCTTAGGGGGGCTTAGAGCTGAGGGCTTCTAGGTGTGTATAGGATTTGTTAATGAGGGCGTAGAGGGTTTTAGGGCTTATGGAGTTGAAAGGGTGTGTAGGGTTGGTATAGGGCTGATAGGGTTTATAGGGATTAGGCTTTAGGGGCTCCGACTTTGCGCTTTGAGGCCCCAGCGTTGTTGACGACTGCGTCCACGTTGTCCACTTGCATGGGCAGCGTGACTTCCACGACGCTGTAGATGGCTCCCTCGTCTACGAGACGGTCTTGGGCTCAGGGAACCCCTGAACTCTAAACCCTCAAACCGCAAACCCCAGACAACTAAACCCTAAACAACTAAACCCCAAACCCCAAACCCCAAACCCTCAACCCTCAACCCGAAACCCACTTCTGCCCTTTCAGGCCCGACGGTTGGGACCTGGCTTGGCTTTCAATCCTTTCGACCCTGACCGAGCCTCCAAGGCAATGATCTCCGGACCAGAACAATGTCATACACCCAAAAATCCCTGATTCCGAGCGCCTAAGCCCCTGAAGCCCCAAAAACCCTCAAACCCAAAAAACAACCCTCAAACCCCAAACCCAACGCCCCAAAAGCCACCCGAACCTCTCCCGAAACCTCCCAGGTCAGATCCCCTCAGGCCCACGCCATCACCTTGGCAGGATTCGGAGGTTTAGGGTTTAGGGTTTAGGGTTTTAGGGTTTAGGGTTTGGGGTTTAGGGTTTGGGGTTTAGGGTTCAGGGTTCAGGGTTCAGGGTTTAGGGTTTAGGGTTTAGGGTTTAGGGTTTAGGGTTTAGGGTTTAGGGTTTAGGGTTTAGGGTCTAGGGTTTAGGGTTTAGGGTTTAGGGTTTAGTTTTGGGTTTGGGATCCCAGGCGTGTGCGATGTCTCTGTGACTATCTTACTGTCACCAGCTGACTACTCTTGCAACTCTTGTAAGCCTTATTACTCTTGCACCATTGCAACCCTAACGATTCGTGTCATTCCTAGTAATATGCCCAGTATTTGCTGGGATTCGTACTCTGATCATTCCCCGAACCATTCCCCAAACAATGCGTCCACGCTAACGGGTCGCCGCACCCCTTGGGGTTTTCTCGAGCTCTGCTCGCATGTTGCACGAACCTTCGCGCTCTCGCCTAGGCGCAGGGTGTTGGCGTGCTCGCCGTCCTCGAATCTGTCACCATCTTCGGACGTCCGGGCACGCGAAATGCGAGACTGTCGTCGCTGATGGATGTCGGGGCTCGCGAGATGCAAAACGGTCATCGCTTTTTTGACTTCTGGGCTCACATGGTCTCTCACTGTCTGGGGTTTAGGGCTTGAGATTTGGGGTTCCTCGTTTTGGAGTTTTGGGTTTAGGGTTTTAGGGTTTAGGGTTTAGGGCCTAGTGGACTTGAATTACGGGGTTGTGTTAACTCGAGCTTTTGGGTTTAGGGTTTTTGGGTTTAGGGTTTTTCGGTTTAGGGTTTTGGGTTCCGGGTTCAGGGTTTAGGGTTTTAGGGTGTAAGAGTTTAGGGTTTAGGGGTTGCGGGGGTTCGGGGTTTAGGGCTTGTGGCTGCCTCCTGAACCACCACAAGAAAGCTGAAGCGGTGGCCTGCCTCTCGGCCCTAAACCCTAAACCCTAAACCCTTAACCCTAAACCCTATGCCCTTGATTCAAGGTTCGCTGAAGCCCCTGAACCCTACATTCGCCTTTACCAGCCAGTAGACCATAAGAGTTCAGGCCACCTTACACCCTCAACCCTCAACCCTCAACCCTAAACCCTAAACCCGAGAAGTGTTTCGGGTTTAGGGCTTAGGGCCTGCGGCTTAGTGAACTCTAAGGTTGTAGGGCTTTTAGGGCACTGAGGGTCTGAAAGGGCTTCGGTGCTTTAAGCCCTCAGAAGTTCGGGAGCACCCTAAACCCCAAACCCTACACCCTAAACCCTACGGGGGGGGGGGGGGGGGGGCGGGTATCTTTCGATGTTCGAAACGATGAGCCTAAACGAGAAACTGCTCGACCAGCAGCTCTTGAACCCTAAACCCTCAACCCTGAACCCTGAACCCTGAACCCTAAACCCTAAACCCTAAACCCTAAACCCTAAACCCCAAACCCTAAACCCTAAACCCCAACACCCTCAAGCTGAATTTTGGCCAGGGCTGCCGTGGTCGTGGGCTGCAAGCCTTGGGGGCACCGGGGCTCCCAAAGCTCCCAAAAGCTGTTGCCCTTAAAGCATAGGGTTGAGGGTCTAGGGTTTAGGGTTTAGGGGTTTAGGGTTTAGGGTTTAGGGTTTAGGGTTTAGGGTTTAGGGTTTAGGGTTTAGGGTTTAGGGTTTAGGGTTTAGGGTTGGGGTTTAGGGTGAACCGAAGACACTGAAAGCTAAGACCCTGAATCCTATAAACCCCCAACCCAAACCCTAAAGCCCTTTACCAAGCTTGGGGTGTCTGGCGGACCCTCGAAACCGGTTTAGGGTCTGGAGTTTAGGGTAGCTGTTCTGAATGCGTATTTCCCTACCCTAAACCGTAAACCCTAAACCCTAAACCCTAGACCCTAGACCCTAGACCCTAGACCCTAAACCCTAAACCCTAAACCCTCGGGTCGTGGTCTCAGCGCTGCGCTCGCCGGGTTCAGCAAGCAGACGCCGGACTCGAACATGGGCCTGGTGGAGCCCACGTTTAGGGTTTAGGGTTTAGGGTTTAGGGTTTAGGGTTTAGGGTTTAGGGTTTAGGGTTTAGGGTTTAGGGCGTGACGACCCCTTTACGGCCCCGAAACCTTAAGGCGCTAAAGGGTTTAGGGTTTGGGGTTTACGGTTTAGGGTTTAGGTTTCAGGGTTTAGGGTCTAGGGACCCTAAACCCCTAAACTCTAAAGCCCTAAACTCCTAACCCCAGGCCCCTAAACCCTAAACCCCACCGAGACTCCACCACCCTGAAACCCTAAAACGCATGTTTCGGGCTGGGCGGAGGGTGTTAACAGGGCCTCCTCCTGCGGTAATGGTTCAGGCGTTAGGGTTTTGAGGTTTAGATGGTTTAGAGCTTGGAGTGCTTTTGTTGGTTTATTCAGTGCTTTGAGGACTCTTGCGTGAACCGATCCGGGTGGTTGCAAGGGGCCTAGGCCCAAGAGGTGCTCAGGAATAAACGAAGGGTCAGGCTTGAACCCTGTCAGCCCAAAGCCCTAAGAGTTCAAAGGGCTTAGGGGGTTTAGGAGGTTTAGGGGGCTTAGGGGGTTTAGGGGGTTTAGGGGGTTTAGGGGGCTTAGGGTTTGGAGGGTTTAGGGTTAGGGTTCCCGCATCCCACCTCCACATGCACATGGTGTCAGCCATGCACGCGGCGGGGTTCTCCACCTTGGAATCAGGGTTCAGGGGAGTTTTGTGCTTAAAACCCCTAACCCCTAACCCCTAAACCCTAAACCCTAAACCCTAAACCCTAAACCCTAAGCTCGGCTATGGGGTGGGGGTTTAGGGTTTAGGGCTATCGCCCTCCACTTGCCGCACTCCACGCTCCGCTGCTTCATGCTCCTGAATGCTCCTCCCTGCTCGGGTTTAGGGTTTAGGGTTTAAGGTTTAGGGTCTAGGGTCTAGGGTCGAGGGTTTAGGGTTTAGGGTTTAGGGTTTAGGGTTTAGGGTTTAGGGTTTAGGGTTTAGGGTTTAGGGTTTAGGGTTTAGGGTTTAGGGTTTAGGGTTTAGGGTTTAGGGTTTAGGGCACAGGCGCCTGCCTCAAAGGCTGCAGCCAAGCAGCATAGTTCACAGCGCAGGAGGAGATGTTGCCGAGCGTCTCCAGGTATTCCTGCAAGCTGTGGCAGTCGAACTCAGTTGGCTGCCCCGCTCCCTACACCCCCGAAACCCCCTACAACCCGGGGAAAAAACAAAACAAGACCTCCCTGGAAACCCCTACAAAAACATTCAGAACCCCTTCTCAATGCCCCCAAAGACCCGCCTAACAAATCCTTCTAGCCCCCAAAAGCACCGTCAAAACTCTGCAAAGGCCTCTTATCACAAAGCGCCCAAACCCCAAATCCTAAACCCTAAACCCTAAAGCCCAAATCCTAAACCCGGCTAAACCGTAAACCCTAAACCCTAAACCCTAAACCCTAAACCATCTCCTTCACGCCGTAGAGGTTGGTGTCGCAATTGCGGTTGTCCACCGGCGCTGGGTTCCACAGGCTGGTCCAGGCTCTCCAGCCGTAGCGCGTCTGCACCACGGCTTGCGTTTCGGGTTTAGGGTTTAGGTTTGGGGTGTAGGGTTTAGGGTTTAGGATTTAGGGTTTAGGACTTAGGGTTTTAGTCATTTCAGTCGTTTTGGAAATACGACTATTCAGGCGCCAGGTTGCCACCCTTTGGCAGCTGAACGTTGGGAAAACCTAGGGCTAGGGTTGCCCGCGACCTCTCAAAACTCATGAAATGGCAGTGGTGTCCACCAGGTTCCCTACTCATGAGAGCCGAGCATGTCACAAACGACCTGGAGGCCCTGTTGTTGGCCTCAGTAGTGGTCCGAGTGTCGTTGCAGATTGCTGACTGTTTGGCTGCCCCTTGCGGGTTTTTCCCTCCTTGGGATGAGGATTCTGGCATGCTGACTGCAGAAACTCGCATTAAACCCAGTGCTTTACGCACAGCGCCTGCCTTGTCCTTCGGGGTAAACTCATCTGCAATCTTGTCCCCAATCTTGCTGATCTTCCAAGCAATGTAGTCATCCTTGCTCAACACCAGACAAGGTCCAGCCAGCATAGCAACAAACATCGCACATGCAGAGATGTAGTTCCCTGCTGCAGGGAATAGAGCTTTCCACAGCGGCCACGGTAGACAAGAAGAATGTTCACGGAACGGAGTGTCCGATGTGTGAAGAAAACCCTAAACCCTAAACCCTAAACCCTCTTGAATCCTGCAATCCTGAACACGACCCAAACGAAATGGGGGTGTGCCCTCGGTGCATCTGGGCAGCTGCCGTCGGGCCGAAGGCGATGCTGCAATTGTCTCAGAGTTTAGGGTTTAGGGTTTAGGGTTTAGGGTTTAGGGTTTAGGGTTTAGGGTTTAGGGTTTAGGGTTCAGGGGTGTGGGTGTAGGGTTTAAGGTTCGGGTGGTTGGGCCAGGCTAGCGAGGCACATCACTGTCATGATGGTTTTTTGCTGTCATCGTCCTGAATGTTCTCATGCTCAATATCACGATCACTATCGCTACCATCATCAGGGCTACTCGTGCTGCTTTTCTCTCACTGCTCCTACTACTCTTACTCCTCCTAGTCCTCCTCTTGCTCCTGACCTCACTCTCTTACGATTTCGCTGAAGCTTACCCTTACACTTGCACTTACCCTTACCCTTCCCCTTACCCTTACCCTTACCCTTACTCTTACCCTTACCCTTACTCTTACTCTTACTCTTACCCTTCCCCTTACCCTTACCCTTACTCTTACTCTTACTCTTACTCTCACTCTTACTAAACCCTAAACCCTAAACCCTAAACCCTAAACCCGAAAGGCTCGTGGCCTTGGCAGTCGGGCTCCACGAGTGCGGGCCAAGGCACCCCAAGGCCTGCCCGCAGCGGCAGTCATCCAATCCGTGCAGAACATCTTGGCATCGTCCTTGGGTTTTTCAGGGTTGGCTTTAGGGTTTAGGGTTTAGGGTTTAGGGTTTGGGGTTTAGGGTTTAGGGTTTAGGGTTTAGGGTTTAGGGTTTAGGGTTTAGGGTTTAGGGTTTAGGGTTTAGGGTTTAGGGTTTAGGGTTTAGGTTTTGGGGTTTGGGGTTTAGGGTTTGGGGTTTAGGGTAGCAAGGGCTTCGGATTTCGGCCTCGGGGCTTCTCCACCTGGCATCTCAACAGACGCTCCCAGGCCTGTAGGTGATTGAGGGTCCTCAAAAAGCCGGACCTACAACTGTTTCAGCCAGGGATCCGTCTTGTACAGCACCTCGTACTTGTCGTGGTGGTAGTTCAAGGCAATGCCGAACAAGTCCTCCGCCTCTGAGAATCCCAACATCGACAAGGAGCTTTGCAATCGGAGTGGGGCTACAAAACATGAGAACATATTAGGATCCATGTTTAGATGCCGGGCCATCCGCAATTGGCCCATTCCAAGAGGGTCACGAAACACCCCGCAAAGGTCCCCGAAAAGGCCTTTGCCCCCGGAAACCCTGAACCGCCAAGGATCTAAAAGTACGGGCTAATACGGCCTGCTCCATGGAAGCCTTGCAGTTGGGACGCTCACCGCAGTACCTGCCGCAAGGGCTTTGGGGTGGTAGGGTTTACGGTTTAGGGTTTAGGGCTTAGGGTTTAGGGTTTAGGGTTTAGCCTTGGGCCTTGCGTGTTGGATTGCGTTCCGTGCAAAGAAGCAGGGAACTTGAAGCCAGAAAACGCCCTCAGGCGCACTTGGAGTCCTTCAGGACGTAGGGCAGCACCGGCTTGTCGTCACTCAGAAAGCGGAGGCTATAGGATCGGAGGATACTTGGAGGTTCAGGGTACTCGTTAACCTATTATTTGCTTTTTCAAGTACAGTTATAACTGGTTAATAAGGGTATTTAAGTACAGTTATAACTGGTTAATAAGGGTATTTATAAGAAAAAGGCTTCAGTCCGGAAATGTCAGGACTGTTGGAATTCCAGAGAGGTCTTGTCTCCAGTCGTTCAGAGGGGGCAGATCGGGTCGCTTGGATTCCTTTGCGGGGCGTTCGTCTCGGGAGCTGGTTTCGGGTTGAAGGAGCTTCGGTGGGGAAACCCCTTGACCCCAAAACAAGTGACAACCAACCACACAAGGCCGCGCACAAACCTGTGACCCGAATCTGCAGCAGTCCTGCCACGGGATATCCGAAGTACCTCTCCTTACTTCTTTCCTAAACCCTAAACCCTAAACCCTAAACCCCAAACCCTAAAACCTAAACCCTAAACCGCGTGACCAAGCGGCTCATCCATCAGCACGCTCACGGGCGCCTTGACGATGTGGTAGTTGTCTGTGAGCGCCTTATTGTTCTAGGTTATTGGAGGGGGGTTTCGGGTTTAGGGTTTAGGGTTTAGGGTTTAGCGTTTAGGGTTTAGGGTTTAGGGGGTTTAGGATTTAAGGCTAGGGTACCTAGGGAACCCCAGGGAAGCTTAGAGAGCCTTAGGGAGTTGTGGGGAGTATTAGGGAACCTTGAGCTACCCTCCCTTAAGAGCCCTATAACTTTGGGTTCGGAGCCTGGCGGTTTCGGCCAGAAAACCGTGCTCTGCCCTTTTGGGAGGCGATACTGAGATTTCGACGCTCCTTTGCACACCTGCGACCCCTTTTCCTATAGACTCCTTGAAGGGCCAAGGATGTTCCCTAAACCCTAAACCCTAAAACCCTAAAACCCCTAAACCCCTAAGCCCCTAAACCCCTAAACCCCTAAACTCCTAACCCCTAAACCCCTAACCCCTAAACCCTAAACCCTGGATCACTCTGAGGCCCGCGCAAACCAGTCGGTGTCCACAAGCCCGGCGATCTCACAGAGGTGCATGTACGGCTGCTGGGTGGCCTTCTGCTTCTTCAAGGTGACGTTGCCTCGGCCACGCTTACGACACGGGTCCAGTAGGATGTCACTGCATGTGTCACTGCATGTGTGTGGGCACATGTAATTGAAGGACAACAGGAATGACATCTGGGCGAGCCACTTCAAACCCCCTGAGGGCTAAACCTTCTCTCCCTGCAACCCCTGCACCCCCAAACCTAAAACCCTAAACCCCACGCAACAACCCTGAAACCTCAAACCTTTAACCCTATACCCCGAACCCCGAAACCCCAAACCTTAAACCCCTAAACTCCAAGCCCCAAACCCTGAACCCTCAACCCTAAACCCCAAACCCTAAACCCCAAACCCTAAACCCTAAATCCTAAACCCTAAATCCTAAACCCTAAACCCTAAACCCTAAACCCTAAACCCTAAACCCTAAACCCTAAACCCTAAACCCTAAACCCCATCCCAGCGGCCCCCTGGCGCGACAATGGTCTCCTCAGTAGTCATCTGGTCAAAGTAGGCGATGCCCAGGATCTTCTTGAAGGGGTGGTGCGTTGGCACCTGGCCGGTTTAGGCTTTAGGGTTTAGGGTTTAGGGTTTAGGGTTTAGGGGCTTAGGGTTTAGGGTTGAGGCTTGAGGGTTGAGGGTTGAGGGTTGAGGGTTGAGGGTTTAGGGTTGAGGGTTGAGGGTTTAGGGTTTAGGGTTTAGGGTCTAGGGTTTAGGGTTTAGGGGCATAGTCTTCAACTTGGCATTCTTCGGGTTCAGGGCTTAGGGCTTTTGGGGTTCGGGACGTAGGAACAGGCGCCAGAATTAGAAGACCCCTAAGCTCTGATCCTAAACCCTAAACCCTAAACCCTAAACCCTAACCCCTAAACCCTAAACCCTAAACCCAAAACCCGACGTCTCTGGGGGTCCGGGCCGTCTCCATGAAGTGTCCCTGGTAGTCGTACCACGCCACACCCAAGGTGACCTCATCGTCCTGCAGCAGACCGTTTAGGGTTTAGGGTTTAGGGTTTAGGGTTTAGGGTTCAGCCCTGAGGAGAAACCCGAGCAACTCCTTAGAAACCCTTAAAAAAATCCTCTCCAACCCCAACACATCGCAAAAACGCCCTTAGAAAACCTCCACCCTAAACCCCAAAACCCTAGAAAAAACTCTAAACCCTATAACCCTAAACCCTAAACCCCAAAACCCCAAAACCCTAGAACCCTAAAACCCTAAAACCCCAAAAACCCAAACCCCTAACCCTAAAACCCCTAAACCCTAAAACCCCAAAAACCCGAAACCCCCAAACCCTAAACCCTAAAACCCCGAAACTCTCCAGGATCTTGCGGCGGCCGGGCGGCGTCCAAGTTCTCGAAGATGTTCTTGCTCGAGCCGTGGCGGATGTAGCTCCCGAACCTTGGGGTTTAGGGTTTAGGGTTTAGGGTTTGGGGTTTAGGGTTTAGGGTGTAGGGATAGTTTTTTTTCAGGGAAACCAGAACCAAAGAAAAAGGGTAGAGGGTACCACTGGGCTGCCAAGGAACTCGTAGCTTTCGTTCAGGAGGGTGTTGGCCTCAGCTTCCGATGGTCTGCAGATGTCTGCAGTCAGGGGCTGCAGGCTGGGGTTTTTAAGGTTTCGGGTAGGGTTTAAGGTTTGGGATTTAGGGTTTAGGGTTTAGGGTTTAGGGTTTAGGGTTTAGGGTTTAGGGTTTAGGGTTTAGGGTTTAGGGTTTAGGGTTTAGGGCATAGGGTTTAGGGTTTAGGGTTTAGGGTTTAGGGTTTAAGGTCTAGGGTAGGCCCCAGAGCAACACAGCAGATCTGGGACGGGGACGTAGTTGCCCACCAGCATCGTGTTCGTGTCGTAGGTCGTTGCATCGCCCGTCCAGGCTGACGCGAACCTTTAGGGTTTAGGGTTTAGGGTTTAGGGTTTAGGGTTTAGGGTTAGGGTTTAGGGTTTAGGGGTTATAAGTTCTGAAGCACCCAGGGCCTTGCAACGCAGTGAGGGAACCTTGTACACCAAAATTGCTCCAAAAACCTTTGCAGCACAACAAAGCAGAGCCCTGAAGACCCTAAACCCCTAAAACCCTATGCCCTAAACCCTAAACCCTAAACCCTAAACCCTAAAGAAATCCTGAACCCTGGAAGCACGGCAAGTACTTCTGGTCGAGCAGCGGCTCCACGCCATCCATGGCTTGCATGGTGATCATGGCCTCTCGCATGCTCCTCTAAACCCTAAACCCTAAACCCCAAACCCTAAACCCTAAACCCTAAACCCTAACCCTAAACCCTAAACCCTAAACCCTAAACCCTAAAAACCCCAGAGCCACTTCGTTTTGTCGGCTCATTTGGGTGACCGGTGCTTTGGGTTTAGGGCGCTACTTCTCTAAGTCTTCTTGAGGTACCGAAATAAACGGAGGCTCCGTATTCTCGTAGAGCTCTGTATTTTCGTACCCGAAACCCTAAGCCCTAAACCCTACACCCTAAACCCTAAACCCCAAAAAGAGGACCATAATCTAAAAAACTGCCCTTCTTGGGGGCTTCGGTAGATTCTGGCCTTCGACGCTTGGGTTAGGCCGATCCATAGGGGGTACTATCATCCCTATTAAGGACTGTTAGGGTTTAGGGTTTAGGGTTTAGAGCTTAGAGCTTAGGGCTTAGGGCTTAGGGCTTAGGGCTTAGGGCTTAGGGCTTAGGGCTTAGGGCTTAGGGCTTAGGGCTTAGGGCTTAGGGCTTAGGGCTTAGGGCTTAGGGGGAGCATCCCAAATGATAGTCGCAAGCGCCCAGGCACGAATGCCACGTCGAAGGCGTGATCCTCCATCATGCTCATTGCCATATCGCTGCTCGTGAAGGTATTGTACAAGTACCTTGTCTGCACCATGCATTGTTGGGGTACAATTAAACATGAATAATTGTTGTTCCTTATTGGGTTTAAGTTATCATAAAAATTTAAAGTGATTTTCAACAACGACCCAGTTGTAGCCACGAGCCCGGTGGTAATTCTAATAAGGACGCTAGCAGGGAGCTACTGGTTGCATCGACGTCTCCTACTACATCTGCCCCTCTTACTAAGGAAGCCACCCACGAGAAACTGTCCCCCTCAAGTACTTTTCTCTAAGAATTCCAACGAAGGAGCTGGGTCCAGCTGTTCTTCAAGTTGTAGATGGCGTTGCCGTTGATGTGATCGACCAAGTAGGCGGGCATCATGTGCTTGAAGAGATCCCACTTGTCACCTGGTTCAAGGTTTGGTTTAGGGCCTAGGGTGAACCCAACGGAAGATCATCTTCATGCCGGGGCCCCGTTTGAGTCGAACTGTCAACCTACGCCCGTAACCTTCTCCCCCTAAACCCTAAACCCTAAACCCTAAACCCCATACCCCAAACCCCAACCCTAAGCTCTAAGCCCTCCCTAGGCCCTGAATCAAGAATGGAAAGTTGCAGCTCCAGCCCCTACCACGCCCCAGCCCGCTCCAGCCCCCATACGAGCTCCCACGTTTCAAATTGCAGGGCTTAGAGGCGTAGAAGTTCGGGGACTTTAGGGGGCTTGTGTATGGGTTGAGGGGGTGTAGTTGCTTAGGGCTTTAGGGCTTAGGAGGTTTAGGGTTCAGGGCTTCGACATGTTTGTGCTGCGGTCCCAAAGGGCCCAGGTATTGGCTGCCACGAATCGCGACGTTGTTGTCAGCCACCTCATGGGCCTGCAGACACGGGTGGCAACCCTGCAGGTGTAAGGGGGGTAAGCCGCTGAACCCTACAACCCCGGACCTTGGGATGGGATGTTCCCCCTTACACGAACAGCCAGTGCTTGATGGGGAATTATAGTGCGCCACAGAATGATCCCTTCTCAGGACTGTTCGTATAAGTGGGAGGATCTAGGGAATCTAGGGGGTTGGGATCGGACTTGTCTCCTCGACTCACATCTTGGCGACACCTTGCTCCTTAAAGACCCACCTCCTTCTCGAACTGGTCGAGCCAGTAGTCCTTGATGGGGACGGCATCCATCTCCTGCCACAGGCGTCAAAAACCCCACCCAAAATGGACCACCCAAGACCCAAAAAAGACTCCAGCGCACCTTAGAGTCCTACACCCCAAGAGAATGTTAGTGCTGCTTTCAATTTTTAAGGGCCAAGTGTGTGCCCCCAAAAGGCCCTACTACCCCCCAGCAGCTGTCTCCATCAGGAAGAAGGAGTCGTACATGTCCATGTAGGCGCCGGTGAACATGGCATCCATGACGCTCTTGAAGACATGGTTCGGGCCTCGGGTCTGCTTGCCCCTAGGTGGATTTAGGGTTTAGGGTTTAGGGTTTAGGGTTAGGGTTTAGGGTTTAGGGTTTAGGGTTTAGGGTTTAGGGTCTAGGGTCTAGGCTTTAGGGTTTAGGGTTTAGGCTTTAGGGTTTATGGCACTAAAAGACCCCGAAACGGCGACCCGAGGATGCTCTTCCAAAGAGGGTTCAGAGGTTCTCAGGGTTCTCAGGGTTTTAGGGTTTAGGGGTTTAGGGTTTAGAATTTAGGGTTTAGGGTTTAGGGTTTTAGGGTTTTAGGGTTTTAGGGTTTTAGGGTTTCAGGGTTTTAGGGTTTAGGGTTTTAGGGTTGAGGCTTCATTAGGGTCTAGGGTCCAGGGTCTAGGGATACCTGAGCCTGTGGCAAGCAAAAGGGACAGGTGTGTGGTGAGGGTTTAGGCCCTTTCGGCTTGAGGGTCGAGCAGGTGTGTGCTTCTTAGACCAAGGACACCACAAGATGCCCCTGGAAGACCGACCTCTTAAGTGTGACTGTTAGAGGGTTCCCCTGAGGCTCCCTAAGCTTCCCTAAGGTTCCCTAAGGTTCCCTAAGGTTCCCTAAGGTTCCCTAAGCTTCCCTAAGGTTCCCTAAGGTTCCCTAAGGTTCCCTAAGGTTCCCTAGGTACCTAGCCCCATGAACCCGGCCCTTCCTGAAGAACCCTATCAGACTGCCTTCTTGACTCATTTGCAGCTTCCTCCCTGACTCGTCACTGCATGCAGCACGTTTCTCATGTGTGTGTGGGGGGGGCTTAGGGAGGCTTAGGGCTTAAGGCTTAGGGCTTAGGGCTTAGGGCTTAGGGCTTAGGGCTTAGGGCTTAGGGCTTAGGGCTTCAGGTGTCGGATTAAAGGCAGGAGGCAGATACTGGTCCATCCGCTTCATCTACAGTGCCAACTCCCGAGACTCCTATGCTCTGAACGAGGGCTCTTCCTTAAACCCCCCAAAACTTTTGGCCCCAAAACCTTTAAATCCAGTTGAAGGTCCTATGTACATAAATACACACTCCTTTGCCCATTTTTGCTAAAACCCTACAACCCTTAAATCAGATCGAAGGGTTCCTATATACATGTATACACGCCCTGTTTGCCGATGTTTGCACCAGACATATACATAGACACACACCCTCTTCTTTTCCTACTTTTGTGCTAGAACCCTCCTCTGATTCAGAGGTTTGGAGCCTCGCCCGAAGCCCTCTCTGACGTCCGACGCTTCTGGGGCCGCAGCCGGAGACCCAGTGCTTGTTCGTGGTGTACCCGTTGCTGTCGTAGACATCTTGCTCGGGGTTCAGGTTGGCGGACATGTACTTGATGTCCCTGGCTGTTTTGGGATTTAGGGCTTGGGGGTTTAGGGTTTAGGGTTTTGCCCTAAACCCTAAACCCTAAACGCTAAACCCCAAACCCTAAACCCTAATGCTTGGGGTGTTTGGGTTCAGGGTTTCGGGATGTCCCTGGGCGGACTCCTGGGGCTTGGGGCGGTAAGCCCACAAAGCATTCCTCCGACAAGCACGGCGCCGTTGAAAGCGAGAGAGACCCAGACGAGAGTTTAGGGTTTAGGGTTTCGGGTTTAGGGTTTAGGGTTTAGGGTTTACGATTTAGGGTTTAGGGAGACTCCAAGTGCCCCTTCTGGTTTAAAGGGGCCTTTGGAAAAAAAACTTAAACCCTAAAGGAAAGGAATCAGCTAGACTATGGTGAGTTCTCTAGGTGGGCGCCTTTCTAGGTGCTCCAGCTATTCGGGGGCCGCCTTATAATAGCAACCCGAGAAGTGAACCTTTGGTGAGTTCTCTAACTTAGGGTTTTTTTGTGGGGTACCCCAAATAAGAGGGGCCGCCTTGTAATCAGGACCCCAAAAAAAACCCTAATTTAGAGCAGTGACCATAAGTCTTGATGGCCATGAGCTCTAGCCGGGGAGCGAGAAGCACTTCATCCAGTCGTACATGGTGGCGTTGGGGTTGGTGACGTTTGTCATGTTGTACATCTCCTCGGCTTTCACAAGTGACGGCTCATGGGCTGAACCCTCAACGCTAAACCCTAAACCAACCCTAAACCCTAAACCCTAAACCCTAAACCCTAAACCCTAAACCCTAAACCCTAAACCCTAAACCCTATCACCACCCCACCCTCACCCCCCCCCTAAGTCAGCCGCAAGTCCATGTCCATCTTGATCTTGAAGCCGTCCACGAGTTCCATGACGACCTGCGGCTTCTTCGAGAGGGGCGCAGCCACTGGTGCGGGGGGGGAAGGGAAAAAGGGGTTTAGGCTTTAGGGTTTAGGGTTTAGGGTTTAGGGTTTAGGGTTTAGGGTTTAGGGTTTAGGGTTTAGGGTTTAGGGTTTAGGGGTTGGGGGTTGGGGGTTGGGGGTTGGGGGTTTGGGGGGTGGGGAGAGGGGGGGGGAAGGGGGGGGGGAAACGGGGGGGGGAAGGGGGGGGGGAGGGGGGGGGGAGGGGGGGGGGAGGGGGGGGGGAGGGGGGGGGGGGGGGGATGTGGATTTTTCTGGTGGATGCTGTCCTTTCTTTTTGATTTGTGGCACCAGATACCTCACACGCATGTGACCAAAGATGGCGGACAGCGAAACCCCTTCAGAAGGGTCCCTTGCGTAAGACAAAATGCCTATAAAGGTATCTATGAACCCTGAACCCTGAATACCTTACAAACCCTGAACCCTCAAACCGTAAAGCGACTTGCAACAGCGAAATCGCAGGCCCGCGCCTTGTTGGCCATGGCGTTCATCGACAGGTCCTTGCCTCAGGTGGGTTTGGGAGGCTGCAAGGAAGCTTATTGCGGCAGCCAAGAACTCGCTGCACCCCGAAGCCATGGAAACCCTGCGACAGGGGAGTACCCGCAATATCAGGCACAGTCGTCCCCAAAACGATGCGCTCTCGGAACGCTTGATGCAAGAGACCTTCGACTAGCCATTGCTTGGGCTCGTCTCCCTGCTCGCCTCCCTTTCAGGGATAGGAAGCCGAGTCCCCACAAAACAAGGTGAACATTTGTTTGCGTGTCCAAGGAAACCAGACTTAAGAACGGGGGCATGGGTGTCACTGGCTTCCTGGATGCTGCTTTGCATCTCCCCTTGTCTGTCTTTCATGTGTATAAGGAACACTATGTCTTGGTGCTCAGTTTTCAAACCACAGTTGCCTGTAGCCTCGCTTGTAACTTACGGGTAGCTTGGGTACCTAGGATTCAAGACCAGCCTAAGGTGAGATGATGGGCGGGCCGGCCCCTGATCTCTGGAAGATTGGGGGGCCTTTCTCGGGGAACGAGCTTGAGGCTTTCTGGGCTTGAAGCGGCCCCAGGTTCCTAAGTCACTCTTCTTACGGATGTGGGCGCAGTGAAGGCGTTAAGGGCGTCAAAAGCCAAGGGGCTGTAGACGAGGATGAGGTCGATGGCGCTCATGTTCGACTTCATCTCGCAGGGCTCTTCGTCGTCCCACTTCTCGCCACTCTCCTTCAGCAGCATCACCTGCGTACTTTTTAAAAGTCGCCGCGGCAAGATTCTGCTGTCCTGCCATGTCTTTAACCCAAACCCCCAAACCCCAAACCCTAAACCCCTGCACCCCAGCATGATCTCTTCAGGGAGTCGGACTCTTATCGGAAGGGGGAATTATGCACTAAGCACAGCCCCACAAGGCACATGCAGAATCTTTTGGGCGGTTAGCGCAACTGGCTCTTCATGCGCAGCACCTAAAGATGGCAAAAGGCCGTTCAACACTACACGCACTCATGTACAAGTGTAAAGACATATATTCTGTACATTACTATACCAAAAAACACATGCATAGCTACATTCGTACATACATACATACATACATACATACATACATACATACATACATACATACATACATACATACATACATACATACCTACATACGTACATACGTACATACATACGTACATACGTACATACGTACATACGTACATACGTACATACGTACATACGTACATACGTACATACGTACATACGTACATACGTACATACGTACATACGTACATACGTACATACATACATACATACATACATACATACATACATACATACATACATACATAGCGTATGCGTAACCCTAAACCCTACACCCTAAACCATGAACCCCAAACCCTAAACCCGAAACCCTCAACCCTCAACCCTCAACCCTCAACCCTAAACCCTAAACCCCAAACCCTAAACCCTGAACCCTAAACCGAGTGCCTCCTCGTCAGTGGAGAACACCCGGACCACTGCTAGGTGCTCGTGCCCGCCATGGCCTGCGGCCCATACCTGGGCCTGAGCAGGCGCGAGAACTAAACCCTAAACCCTAAACCCTAAACCCTAAACCCTAAACCCTAAACCCTAAACCCTAAACCCCAAACCCTAACCCAGGAAAATCCTAAACCCCAAACCCTCAACCCTAAACCCTAAACCCCAAACCCTAACCCAGGAAAATCCTAAACCCCAAACCCTAAACCCTAAACCCTGAAGGTGTAGGGTTGTAGGGCTTCGGGTGCCCCAACCCCTTAGGGTTTACGGTTTTGACTCTTGTTTTTCTTGAGTCTCCTTTGTCTCTTGTATCCTATGTGGGGGTTTCCGAAACCAGGGGTGCCCTTTGGGGGTTCCTATAATAAGGATTATGCTACTTTGGGGTACATCATAGGTCCCCCCTGTTTTTAGAAATGCCCATGTGTCTTTAGAGACGCTTGGAATGTCAGATTGGCGTACCCCGACTTCATGACCGCGTACGCAGAAGAGACAAACAGAAGGAACCATCATCTAGAGAACTGCCCACAAGGCATTTTGGAATTTGGTATCTTTTCGCCCCACCCCCCAATATAGCCCTGAAAGAGGGATTAAGATATACGGATCGAACTCCCCGCTGCCCAAATTTCCTGCTACAGCTACAGCGCTACAGCCAAAAAACAGATTCCCAGACTCCCAAGAAACCGGCAACGAAGAACCCCTACAAAGAAGGGTTTAGGGTTTGAGTTTAGGGTTTCGGGTTTAGGGCCTAAAACCTTAAACCTCATCAAACCCTAAACCCTAAAAACTAAACCCTAAACCCTAAACCCTAAACCCTAAACCTCATACCCTTCCAGAAACTTCAAGGGTTAGGCGAGCCGCCAAGCTCAACGCCGCGAGAGCCAAAGTACGAATCATGGCCTCGCTTCAGTTGGGGTTAGGGTTTAGGGGTTTAGGGGTTTAGGGGTTTAGGGTTTAGGGTTTAGGGTTTAGGGTTTAGGGTTTAGGGTTTAGGGTTTAGGGATTCGGGCTTTCGGGTGTGGAGTTGAGGGGTTTTAGGGTTTTAGGGTTGAGGATGTTTGGGATTTAGGGTGTTAGGGCTTGGGGTTCATTGAGGGGACTTTGGGCCCTCGACCCCAACCTCGAAGGTCTCTGGCAGCCTTTTGGTGCTCAAAGTCTGCAACTTCACCTTCTTTGGGCGATGAGAAGCCCCCAAACCCCAAACCCTAAACCCTAACCCTAAACCCTAAACCCTAAACCCTAAACCCTGAACCCCAAACCCTAAACCCTAAACCCCTGAAACCCTAAACTCTCAAGAGGGCCAAGGGCTTGTTATGAGAGCAGACCCGGGGTGTCCGGGTTTGGGGTTTAAGGGTTTAAGGGTTTAAGGGTTTAAGGGTTTAAGGGTTTAAGGGTTTAAGGGTTTACGGGTTTAAGGGTTTTAGGGCTTAGGGCTTAGGGCTTAGGGCTTCGGGCTTAGGGCTTAGGGCTTGGGGGTTAGGGCTTCGGGCATAGGGCATAGGGCTTAAGGGTTAGGGCTTAGGGCTTCGGGCTTCGGGCTTCGGGCTTCGGGCTTCGGGCTTCGGGCTTCGGGCTTAGGGCTTCGGGCTTCGGGCTTAGGGCTTCGGGCTTCGGGCTTAGGGCTTAGGGCTTCGGGCTTAGGGCTTAGAGTGTAGGGTTTAGGGTCTAGAGCTGCTAGAGTTCTGGGGTCTAGGGCTTGAGGCCCAGGGCCTAGGCCTAGGGCGGACCTCGCGTCTGTTGCTCACCCCCCTTGATTTCTTGCCAAGTTGCTAGCGCGGAGGGGAACTGGTCGCGGTGCAGAAGCGGATCTCACCCTGTAAACGTCTGAGGAAGAGATGCTCTGACACGTTTCATCCAGGATATGCAGCTGGGCGTGTCCGAACGTGTCATAGGTGGTACAGCTTGCTGTGGTACGCAAAGCAAGCATCTAGAAGGGTCCGAGTGTACCGGTTCCCAAACGAACCGCGCAAGCTGCTATCAGGTTCCAGAAGCACCCCGTCATCCCCCACACGGGGCTAACCCCAACAATAAATCCTCACCCCTGCACCCTAAACCCTAAACTCTTGGGGAAACTCTAACCACATTATCCTCCACGTCTACTGCAACCCCTGGTTCCTCCACGGCTTTGCGGGCCTTGAGTTGAACACGGGGGGGGTGACGTAGGCCCGGGGCAAATTACTGTTTTAGGGTTTAGGGTTTAGGGTTTAGGGGTTTGGGGTTTAGGGTTTAGGGTTTAGGTCCTTGAGCCGAATCGATAGACCCCGACCTTTCTTTGCCTCCATCGTAGGATTCGCAATTGCTTTTGTGCCGTCACGGCAAGAGTGAGCTCATGCGGAAAAACACCGTGTCAAAAATGCTCGAAACCAAGCTGGCCAATAGCAAATCGTACCCCCTCCATGTTTGACACCGTGACCAAATAGAGAGGGGGTACTTGCGCGCACATCTTGCACGTAAATAAACTCCGTAACAAATCGGCGCTGGTAACGTCATCTCGTCTCCATGACCCGCCCGCGCTTTTAGAAAGGCTGCGGGAGCAGCCCATGTTTGGCTCGAGCCATGTGGTCAGAGCTGCAACAGCCCATGTTTGGCGCAAGCTATTTGGTCGCGGATGAGTCGAAATACAGAGGGAGTGTTGCCAAGCGTAGCGGCCCATGGTTCCAATTACCCACCTGAAACCCGGAACTCTAGACCAGCCGACCCTAAATCCCAAACCCTAAACCCTGGTCTGTCCCTTCCCCTTCCCAGCTCACTACCACTTCACTACCCCAATGGCGCACACGATAATACTCCAGTTTACGCAGAGGGGAAGGGGAGGACGCGCATGTGTTAAAGCAACCTCCTTTTGCTCAGCCGAACCATGGGTGAGCAAGGCTGTCCACAGCAGAGCCTCGCACGCGGTTGTCGCAACAGACCAGTGGCTCAACCACCTTGTCCATGCCGGGATATGACTGGGCCAGACCTTCGAGCGGCACCTCCTGCAAAGCTGCAAGCCAACGGACAAACGCCATTTCTGCTTCGCGGCCAGCCCCCAAGAAGCGCAACAGCGGGTGCTCAAGCAACGCGACCTCCAACAAAGTCATCCCCACGGACCACAAGTCCAGTGTCGCATCAGCAACAGGAGCATTTCGCCCGGTGGCCAAGAACTGCTCCATCTCTGGCGGCACGTACTGCAAAGTGAAGGAAACGGTTTCGTTCTCAATTTCCATCACTGAACCCATGGCCTGAAGCCCATCAACATCGATCAACTTCAAGCCAGCCTTGAAAATCATGATGTTTTCTGGCTTCAAATCCACGTGGACCAGGTGCCTGGAATGCAGCCGTGCCACTGCAGATATTGCAGAGTACGCCACATACTTCATTTCGTGGGGCATCAACAACGAGCCACTGTGTCCACAGTAGTTCATGCGATCTCGCAGGCTGTATAACGCAAGCTCCGTGACTACAAACATCAAACCACCATCTGGGCCCGGAGACCCGGCTTCGTCCTTGGAGAAATCCAGCAACAGGGGCCCCACGCCGGGATTCAGAGTCCGGAGCATGGCCACGGTCCTGTTCAGTTTGACACGCTGCGAGTCCTGGTTCTCCGGATTGAGCTTACAGATTTTGACGGCAACATCCTCGTCAGTGTTGAGGTTATGACCTTTGAAGCAGAATGACGCATCCCCCTCGCCGATGCAATGCTGCCAGATGACCCCGTATCTGCCCAAGAGGATTCTGTCGTAAACTGCATCACGCGTTGCACGCAAAGCCGCCACTCGGTGAGCACGCCGTGCTGTCTGCACTTTCACCGCGGCGCACACCATGATGCGAGCAACGGATTGTACGCACTCACGGCCTGGGAACCGCGGTAGCCAGGGTCTCGGGGCCGGCGCAATGCTCAGAAAGTCAGCACTTCTCTTAGGGCATCGTTGTGCCTGCGCCTCCACATCCTGGCAAAAGTGAGACACCACCAACGCTGCTGAAAGCCACCGGAAAAGCTCCAGGGTGGCAGCAATATCAAGCATGGTTGGCGACCATTCGGACGGACTCCGTAATCCCTTGTAGAAAGCACTACCTGCTCGACTTGCACATGTGGTTAGGCTTGCTTTGAATTCCACCACGTCCGAGAACTTTCAACAATAAGATACTCGTTGAATCAAGCCGAAGACTTGATCAGCAGCGGGCAAAGCAGGTATCCTCGACCAAAGGCCACTGACGGGAGAGCTGGATGGTGGGATCCCATATCTGACAACACTATTTTACCGGATTTCTGGAAGGTTTGCCCAGCCACGTGGGAAAAACATTTCAGTTTACTTCAACCAGTGCTGCGCACAGTGCAGTGGAAGAGCGGTCGTGGCAACGAAATGAAGACAAAATGAACGGAAAATCAGGTCGGACAAAGGAGAGGTGGCTTGCGCAGAGATTGCTACTCCAGCGGGACAAGATATATGTACCGGCATTCTGAGCTTCTCTCCACCACTAAGAAGACGTGCTGATTGAACGCAGTAGAATCTCTTCACCTCAAAACCGTGAATATGAGAGCACGAGGCTTCAGAGCAGTGAGGCACAAGAAACTGCCGTCATGACGTGTCCGCAATGCTGCGGAACATTGTCGGCCAAGGCTGCAGCGAAAGAGGCTTTGGGTCTACCACCACAAAGTCTGCGCAAACTTTGCTTGGACTCATGGCAACGCGTCGCATGCAACAACCTTGCAGGTGACATGATGGACAGGCGCATGTCTGCAGGCCCCTTCCCTTGCAGTTGCGTAACCCGGACGCTGTCCGCCAGAAATGCCTTCCAGCAACACGACAGCCAGGTCCCGAATTCTGCATTCATCACGACTTGCTTCATTGGATACTCACTGTCGCGTCTAGGCTGCGCAGGTGGCTTGCGGCCTTTGGCAGCAGACCCGGCGGCTAAACGCCATGGGCACCTCGGCCAAGGCAAACAGACCATAAGGGAATACAATTCGTAATTCTTCCGACCCCTATATTACTTCAACCTTAAACCTTCAAACCAGACAATGCGAGCGTTTGCTGCTTGGCCTTCCCTAGCCCTTACTAAAACCCTAAACCCGAAACCCGAAACCCTCAACCAGAAACCCCAAACCCCAAACCCCAAACCCTAAACCCCAAACCCTAAACCAAACCCGAAACCCTAAACCCTACTGTGGAGGTCACTTGCTTCTCTACCTTTTGGGGTTGATTTCTTGCCCTCTTTTTGTGTCTCCAAATCCACACACCTTTCACCACTGCCCTAAACCCTAAACCCGAAAACCGGAGGGCCCACACACGTAGGAAGCTCAGCCCAGTTTTTCGTGGCTCAAGGCCAGGGGGGAAATGAATTCGTGGTTCATGGCCATTTTTCGTGGTTCAGTTTCTCGTGGCTCAAGGCCAGGGGTTAAAGGTGGGATCTCAGGGCCTCAATCAAGGCCTGGGGATGAGGGTTTCAGGGTCTCAAGGCCTGGGGTTTAGGTCCTCTCAGCCAAGTCTCACCCAACAAAGGCCCAAACAAGTCTCGGTTCCATTGGTTTCTAATCGTCATCGAAAAAGAACTCATTCTGTGCACTCACACTGCCAGCATCTTCGTGGCACTCTACATTTGCGGGCTCACGCGAAGTGACAAACTGCTCTCCAACTGCCTAAAAATTCTCCTGAAGGCCCAGCAGTGGGTAGACCTCCCAAACTGATGCCTCAAACATCTTTAGAAGGCCCAGAAATGATTGGGCTCAAACTGCTGCCCAAACAGTTGCCTGAAGGCCCAGAAGTGATTAGGCTTCTCAAACTGCTGCCTCAACCCTTCTAGGCTCACAAGTGATTAGGCCTCTCAAACTGCTGCCTAAAACTTCTCCGGAAGGCCCAGCAGTGAGTAGACCCTCAAACTGCTGCCTAACACTTCTCCAGTGGTTCTGGCACAAGACAGCGTGGATCGTCCCTTTCCTTATCCGTGCCGCCATGGTACCAGCTTCACTCGAACCGCAAGATTGCCACATGTCCCGCAGTGATTGCCATTACGAATTCTTGCCGATTGCCAATACAAGCACATGCGCCTGACCGTCAACTTCAGGTCGGTGTTCAATTCCACCGCAACGACGGTCAGATTATCAGTGGAGGAGGGGCTCTCCTTAGTTTTTTCCTGCCTGACCATCAACTTCGACTGGTATGATGCTTTCCAACAAATTATTCTGGAGGTTTTACGTGGGTCTGAATGTCATCCCGCACTGTATTTCCAGACCGATATGGGAGTGCTGCGCCTCTCTACGTTTGTTCCACTTGACCCTGCCGCTTTTGCCTGCGTGTTTTGCCAACCATGGGAGACCGGTGGCTCCCAATGATGCAACCGTAAACCTCTGGAACACCCCATCAGACTGTCAGCTCTGCAAGTGCATGTCTCCACCTGACGACGGGGGCACATTTCTGGATTACCATACAGGATGACATTGACCCCAACTTAGCAAGCGGCCTTTTTGAACTGTTCCACAATGCTGTCTAGAGGAGCCGACATGAGGCGAACCGGGGGACCACGGCCTTCCCATGCTCTACGCCAACGTCGACTGACTTATCAGGTGATCATCTTTTATCGGCGAGTGGTCACGAATTCCCCTTGTGCGTCGGGTGAGCTTTATCAGCGACAATAGAAGCGGAGAGGTGAGTGCTCGAGCGCAAGGTGTCGGATCCCACCTTTCCGGCAGAGGGCGCTGAAGTCTCTGAAAGGATCGGGGTGTTCTTTGCTCTGCAAGCTTTTAACAGGAAGCCCTGTGTGAGATGCCGAATGTGCCGACTCCTCTGTCGCGAAACCATTGCGAAAATTGCTTTACAAGGGCCTCCTCGGTGCCAGTTGCAAGTGTCACTTGTGCCAAGCAACTTACAGGGCCGCGGGGAATAGGGTGGCTGCACTTCTGGGATGAACCTGCATCAAGATCACCAGGTCTGAGCAAGGATGAAAACGCTGGCAGGTGTGACCGAAAATGCTGACGAACTCTTGAGCATTGCGCCATCAAGAAAACAGCAAAGTGACCATGGATCAGGCTCTCTTCGTCCAGCGATTAATTGTTTCAAGCGACGCCAATTCGAAACACTGAAAAGACAAAGTGTCTGACAATGTGAATAAGTGCGAGTGAAGCGAGCGAAACACCGGCATCTGACATGTGTTTGTTGTTAGGGCTGTTTTTAATGGTTTTTCGGCACTTTTTTTGATTTGAAGGCGAGGAAAGTCTGACTTTTGTTTGTTGTCAGGTTCTGTTTTTGCTGTTTTTTCGACATCTCCACTTTTTGAGATATTTCAAGGTCTTTCCACACTGTCGCGATTCTCTGGCAAGCTTGAAAACAGAAAAAAAGGCGTTTCTTTGGCGGATCTCTCTTCGTGGCAAGCCCTAAAGAGATTGGTGTTGAGACACCCTTTGGTTCAAAGTTTTGGGTTTTCTGCAAAGTGGTCTTGGTAAACCCTTGGGTTCAAACTTTTTGGTCCAGCCCTTTGGCTCGATCTGGACTCAAAATGGTACTGAGACACCCTTTGGTGTTGAGCACCCTGTGGTTCAAAGTTTTGGGTTTTCTGTCAAAGTGGTCTTGAAACATTTTTTGGCTCGAGTGGTGCTGAGACACCCTTGTTGTTGAGACACCCTTTGGTTCAAAGTTTTTGGGTTTTTCTGTCAAAGTGCTTGAGATACCATTTGGTTCAAAATTTTTGGTTTCTGCTCAAGTGGTGTTGACACCCTTTTGGCTCGATCGGACTCAAAGTGGGTGCTGAGACACCTTTTGGTGTTGGGACACCCTTTGGTTCAAATTTTTTGGGTTTTCTCAAAGTGGGTCTTGAGACATAAATCCTAAGCTTGTCAAGTAAAAACTCCCAGCATCTTCAAACTGCTGGCCTTGGGCTTGCCATCCCGTCAGTCGCTGGAGGCTGACAGTTTAGGGGTTTCAGGGTGTAGGGTTTTGGGGTTTAAGGGTTTAGGGGGCGGGGGTGAGGGTTTTAGGATTAAGAGAGTTGGGGTTTGGGGCGCCAGGTTTGAGGATTACTTCGGGATTTAGAGTAATTAGCCAGTGCCAAGCCTTTCCAGGGCTGCCCAGGTCACGCAAACGCCCGGCTTTAGGAGATTGGGGGGGGGGGGGGGGTTAAACGCGGGGATGTATTGACCTAAGCGCGAAAAGCGCCACCAAAAGACCTAAGAAGACTAGAACCCCAGGATGGCCGAAGGAGCTTAAAAACCCCTCCAAAACCCTGCGACCCTGCTCACTCCACTGTTTCCGAGGGCTTCCGCTCGCGCTCCGTGCTCGCGCTCCGCGCGAGGTGCGCTGAATGTCACGGAGCTTGCCCCATCTGCTGAAAGATTCGCTGCAAGCGTGTGAGCTTCTCCTGGTGAAGCTTCGCGCCAATGACCTCGTCATACCTGTGCTGAGCTTGATAGGCCCAGAAAACTGAGCTTTCTATTGGGCGTATACATTAGGGCTCTACTCTACAGGGATAGGGGCCCCTTGAACTCCATGAAAAGTTACTTTTCACACATCAACTTCAAGATGCTTCCTCTGCCACTCCAGCAGCCTGCGGTCGTAATCACCGGGCCGGGGCCCAAGGATCTCGATCTCCTTGCTTAGGGACTGCTGAACGGCCTCCTGGGTCCTCTGCAAGTCGGCCACGCAAAGCTCCGAAACACGGGACTTGCAACTCTGAAGGCACTGGGTGAACTCCTGGCCCCTGGTTTCGGAGGCCTCTTGCAGCTCTTGGAATCGCCTGGGCCACGCGTCCTGCGGGTTGCAGTCGGAGAGCCGGCTGCAGCAGCGCTTCTCCTTCGCTGCCTTCGCTGCACCCCAGCGATTGGAGGCCTTGCATTGCTGGGTCTGCAAGTTGAAGTCTCCACAGCCACAGCTGTCCAACAACTTCGAGTTGGACCTCCCCGTGGCCAAGCCTTTGGCAACCACCCACTCAGACGCGGCCCTCTGATAATCAGCGAAGGCGTTGGAGCAGGTGCTGGTCTTGCATGTCTCCTCAACCTTGAACTCATCGGGATACAAGCCCCGCTGATAGGGCGCGTAGTTGCACTCGGAGGCAAAGCCTATTTGAAACAGAGGGTCGGTGCTCTGGCAGTCCCTGGCCCATGCGCAGCACGGCTTCACCTCGGTGCCCTCAACGCATCCGCCACCATATTGCCCTCCACAAGAACAGCACGCGCCCCCCTGGCCACTGCACCGCTCCAAGCGCTGAGGGGGATCCTCTCCGCTGCGGTTGCCTCCCAACTCCATGCGCACGGCGCCCGCCGGAGCTGTCAGCGCCACCAGCACCACGAGGATCGCAGACGTCATGGCTTTCACAAACAACCAACCCGGGATTTCTTGTAGGCTTCAGAGTAAGAAGCTGGCGAGCGGAAGCCGCGATGCAATCGGACGTCAAATGTGAGAAAGCCCCGGTTCTCACGGCTTTTGAGGGGTTCCCAGGGCACTCGAGAGGGGCTCAGAGATGCTTCGAGGGATCCAGGGTTTGTCTTTGGGGGGTGGGGGGGGGGTCGCCTAGACCCTAAGAGGACTTTTTTTGTGGGGCCATGGGATGCCATAGCAAAACTCGGAGGAGAGATGAGGCCACGCAGGAAACCAAGACCCCTCCCGGCTCTTTTTTGTCACCACCTGGGGGATTGCGTCTTCTTGTTTAGGGGTTCAGGGTTTAGGGTTTAGGGTTTGGGGTTTAGGGTTGAGGGTTCAGGGTTCAGGGTTTAGGGTTTAGGGTTTAGGGTTCAGGGTTTAGGGTTTGGAGTTTGGGGTTGTTCGAGAGGTGGGGCCTAGGGATGACGTCTCCCCAAACGCTTCCTTTTTGGGCCTCTGTTGAGAAGTCTCCTTAGCTCAAGACTCTGACTCTCTAAAAAGCCCATCGAAGGAAGTCGTCCCAAGTTAGGCTGTTCAGGCCTCTAAGCCCCTTGCTTAAGCCCCCAGAAGAATGCTTCGGTCGTCGGCGCTCTCGGCTGCTTGCCCAAGGTGCGGGCAGCTGGCCCCCGGCAACGCAGAGAGGCGGGGAGGAGGAGCTGACTCTGAGAACGGCTGGGGCGGAAAGGGTAGCTACCTGGTCTCCCCTCAAATGGGGAGCCCTTATGTACCCCGTGCATACCCGATGAAACCCAAGGGCCCATAGCTTCAGAAAGAAGGCAAGGGCCCAGATCCAGGGATCATGCTTCCCTTGCGGGTTTAGGGGCCGAGGGGGCCTTCAGGCTCTAGAGGTTTAGGGGCTTAGAGGGCTCCCAAAATGTGTCAAGCTATATGAGTCACTACCCCAGTTGTCGCGCCCCGCGGCGGCCCCTGCCATTTTCTTGAACCCTACGTCTCTCCCCCCCCCACTACCAGAAGTGAGGCCTCGTCTCTTTTTTTGCTGTCGGTTCAAGAAATCCTGGGGATGAGCGGAACACTCACCCTCGCCAGGCATGCTGCCTGTCAGTTCTGAAAGCTTGGGGCGCAGGAACTAGCTGCGTCGCCCTATTAGGCCCTATGACCCTAAATGGCGTAAATACCCCTTTTAAACTATGAGGCCCTAAATAGCGCATAAACCCCTTTAAACCCAAACCCTCAGTCTGAAGACCGTTTTTTGGACTCCCAAATGTCTGATCATGACAGGCAGCACGGGAAGCCCAGATGTTCGGGCTGAGACAGTCTGATGTAGCCACAGTGCGGATCCCGCCTTTCCACCGCAACCTCCGCCTACTGAAACACCTTTCCTGGCGGCGCATACTTTGGGAAGCTCAACTCGTCATATCTTGTACGACATGCATCTGTGGAAACACCCTAAACCCCTGTAGCCCCTGTAACCCGAAACCCCTGGAACCTCTAGCGCCAACCAGGAATGGCTGCCTCAACTCGTTGCGGGCCGAGGATTCGTCACTATGCCACCGCTGTCCTGGCAATTCAGCTTGCTGGCGCTGGAGAGGTTAATGGTTTCGGGTTTCGGGTTCAGGGTTTACGGGGTGTTCTGTCTGTGAGGATTAGGGAAAGGTTTAGGCCTTTAGGGTTAGGGTTTAGGGGTTAGAGTTTAGGGTTTAGGGTTTAAGGTTTAGGGTTTAGGGTTTAGGGTTCAGGCTTCAGGGTTTAGGGTTTAGGGTTTTGAATTTTGGGTTCCATGCCTGCACACAGCGCTGCGCTTAGCTGGGGAAGTCGTCATCGCCGAAGACCATCTCGTCATCATCATCACCGTCGTCCTCGCCAGCAGCAAGGGCTGGTAGTTCTTTAGGGTTTCGGGTTTCGGGTTTCGGGTTGGGGGTTTAGGGTGTAGGGTTTAGGGCTTAGGGGCCTTAAACCCTACACCTTAAACCTTGGAGGTTAAGAGCTTTGTTGTTTGGGCGATTTGCTTAAGGGCTTTCAGGTTGAGAGAGGCGGTTGGCAAGGAATCGGCTTTTGGAGGTTTGTAGGGCCCACCGGGTTGTGGGGTTCGGGGTTCAGGGTTTACGGTTTGGGGTTTAGGGCTTGGGGCTTAGGGGTTTATGGGTTTACGGACTGAAGGGTTTCAGGGTTTAAGGGTTTGGAGGCTTCGGGGTGTAAGGGTTGAGGCCCCAAGAACCCACACCCCTAAAACTCCCTCCCCATTCCTGCCTGAGCAGACTTAAGGCTTTGGGGCATAAGTGCTTAGGGTTTTGGGTTAGTTCGGGGGTTTTGGGGGTTTAGGGTTTAGGCCTTGGGGGTTCTCTGCTACTCGGCCGGGCCTTCTAAAATGTGCAATTGTCTTAATTGCCAGATTCGAAGATGTCTTATGGGAGGGGCTTTTCGAAATAGGCCCTTCATCGATGGCCTAGAGAAGAAGCCCTAAACCCTAAACCCTAAACCCTACCCCAAACCCTAAACCCTAAACCCTAAACCCACACACACCCTAGACCATTAAACCCTCGACCCCGGAGCCGAACCTCGCCTCGGGGAAGAGGCCCTTCTTGCGGAGGAAGTTGTTGGCCTTGACGCGCACCCTAAACCCCAAACCCCAAACCCTCAACCCTCAACCCTAAACCCTAAACCCTGAACCCTAAACCCTGAACCCTAAACCCCCGCCCGCAAAAAACAGGCCTCCCAACACCCTCAGTATTTTGGGTAGTTGGTCCATCTGGCACTTGGCTGAAGGTTTGGGGAACCCCCCTCAACCCCCCACCAAACCCCTGTAGCCCTAAACCCCTGAAACCCTAAACCCCTGAAACCCTAAACCCGAAACCCTAAACCCTAAACCCCTGTGACCCGAAACCCTAAACCCCTGCAACCCTGTAACCCTAAACCCTAAACCCGAAACCCTAAACCCCTGTAACCCTGTAACCCTAAATCCTAAACCCCAAACCCGAAACCCTAAAAATAGCTTGTGCATGGAGTTGCGAGACGCTCCTCGCCTCAAGGATCAGACCTTCCCTGATCTTCAGCGGGAAGATGCCCTTGTCCTGCCGGGTTTTAGGGTTTAGGGCTAGAGGGTTTCTAGGGCTAGAGGGTTTGAGGCTTTAGGGTTTAGGGCCAGAGCGTTTGAGGGTTTAGGTTTACGGCTAGAGGGTTTGAGGGTTTCGGGTTTAGGGCCCTTGAGGGTTTTAGGGCCTTTAAGGGCTTCAGGGTGTAACGTCCGGGGCTTCGGAGCCCTGAGCCCTGCAACCCTCCAACCCTCCGGGGCTCTCCAACCCCTGCAACCCTGAGCCTCCTTAGGGTTTAGGGTTTAGGGTTTAGGGTTTAGGGTTTGGGGTTTAGGGTTTGGGGTTTAGGGTTTAGGGTTTAAGGTTTCGGGTTTGGGGCTTAGCGTTTAGGGTTTAGGGTTAGCACATGCTAAAGGGCGCTTGGCCGGTCCGCATTGGTGGCGATGGCTCCAGTGGAGTAGCCCTGCCGCAGCTTGCTTGGTGGGGCGTTAGGTGCGTCAGGGTTTAGGCTTTAGGGGTTTGGGGTTTCGGGTTTAGGGTTCGCAACAGGGTTTAGGGTTTAGGGCTTAGGGTTCTTTTTGAAATGCAATGACTCCCTTCCTCCGAGCAAGTCCGCCCATACAAGGGCACGCACTGTCGGCCCACCCCCCGCAGAGCTGGGCCAAAGAAATGCGCGCGAAGACTTCGACCATCTTCCAGATCGCAGAAGTCGCCCATCAGCTAGCAGAGCTGGGCCAAAGACATGCGCGCGAAGACCTTGTAGCGCACGCAGAAGAGCAGTTCCACGGAGCTCGTAGAAGTCGTCCACCAGCTAGCGCATGTAGCAGGGCATCTCCACGAAGACCTTCTGGCTCGACGAACATCTTGACATTGAAGAGCTCGGCGACCATCTTGTAGGGCACGAAGTAGGGCAGCTCCACGAAGAACACCAGCTCGTTGTAGTCGTCCATCCGAAAGCGCATGTAGTAGGGTATCTCCGCGAAGATCTTCTGCTCCACGAACATCCTAACATGGATGAGCACAGCGACCATCTTGTAGTGCACGTAGAACAGCAGCTCCACGAAGAAGATCTTCTGCTCGACAAACATCTTGACATTGATGAGCACGGCGACGGTTTAGGGTTTAGGGTTTAGGGTTTAGGGTTTAGGGTTTAGGGTTTAGGGTTTAGGGTTTAGGGTTTAGGGTTTAGGGTTTAGGGTTTAGGGTTTAGGGTTTAGGGGTTTAGGGTTTAGGACTGCACGAAGTAGCTTATATCCTCTGGGGCGGGGGGCGGGAGCTTAGGGTTTTAGGGAGGGCTTGGCACTGTGACCTTTTGTCGCACCCAGCTCTCGCCCCTAAGGAACTGCAACAAAAATTAAGCTTAGGGTGTTCGGGTTTGGGGCATAGGTTTGGGAGTTTGTGGTTTTGCGGTCATGCACCCTCCTATTGGTCGACCTAAAACCCCGAGCCTAAGCGAGGACTCCTCGGACCCTCTGGCATACCTGCAGCCTTCAGAGAAGGGGAGAGATTCCATTCTTTGAGGTTTCCCGGAAGCTTAACGGGGCCGTATCTTGGTGAAAGATGGGCCCAAAAAGATGAAGCTGGCCCGGCCTTGCCCTTGCTAATCATCTTGTATCCGGGCTGGGTGCTCAGGACCTTCTCCAGCCACTCCTGTCCGTGCAAGGGTTGCTTGGGGTGTAGGACTTGAGGGTTCATGAGTAGGCTACAAACAGGCAAGGTACGCATGGGGGTTACAACCACCCCTGTGTAAGGCCTAGGGGTAAGGCCTACCCATGAACATTGAAATAGTGGCCCCAAACCATGAACGCCAATGAACTGGCTACAGTGTGTAGGCTTGAGGACTTGGGATTGAGGTGGGCTCATGAGAGCTCCGAGCTTGCCATCCTCGCTGAAAGCACGACTGGGAGAAGCGATATTCACCGGCATAACCCCCCTAACCCTAAACCCCAAACCCTA